GTGGGTAGGTGGGTTGGGGGTGGGGCGGTATATAGTGAACACATAGGTGGGTTGGTATATTATATTATATTATTATTATTATAATAATAATAATATTATATAGATATATTATATTAGATATATTATATTATAGTATATTATATTATTAGATAGAATGTTATAGTGGTCCAAACTGTGTCAGGGTGACCCACATGTGGGCTAAAAGTACACATCATTATTTAGACAAAATCCCACTTATTTTTATTATTTTATTATTACAAAATCTTTTATTTTCTTATTAAAAATAAAGACAAAATACCTTTTATTTTTCTGTATGTAATTCCGAGACACAATCTCTACAGGATGCAGGCATCCTGCTGCTATACCTGCTGCTATACCTGCAGCTATACCTGCTGCTATACCTGCTGCTATACCTGCTGCTATACCTGCTGCTATACCTGCTGCTATACCTGCTGCTATACCTGCTGCTATACCTGCTGCTATACCTGCTGCTATACCTGCTGCTATACCTGCTGCTATACCTGCTGCTATACCTGCTGCTATACCTGCTGCTATACCTGCTGCTATACCTGCTGCTATACCTGCTGCTATACCTGCTGCTATACCTGCTGCTATACCTGCTGCTATACCTGCTGCTATACCTGCTGCTATACCTGCTGCTATACCTGCTGCTATACCTGCTGCTATACCTGCTGCTATACCTGCTGCTATACCTGCTGCTATACCTGCTGCTATACCTGCTGCTATACCTGCTGCTATACCTGCTGCTATACCTGCTGCTATACCTGCTGCTATACCTGCTGCTATACCTGCTGCTATACCTGCTGCTATACCTGCTGCTATACCTGCTGCTATACCTGCTGCTATACCTGCTGCTATACCTGCTGCTATACCTGCTGCTATACCTGCTGCTATACCTGCTGCTATACCTGCTGCTATACCTGCTGCTATACCTGCTGCTATACCTGCTGCTATACCTGCTGCTATACCTGCTGCTATACCTGCTGCTATACCTGCTGCTATACCTGCTGCTATACCTGCTGCTATACCTGCTGCTATACCTGCTGCTATACCTGCTGCTATACCTGCTGCTATACCTGCTGCTATACCTGCTGCTATACCTGCTGCTATACCTGCTGCTATACCTNCCACCTCCCCCTCCTCTACCCACCTCCCCCCCAATTACGTCACCCGCCATGATGACTCCTCAGTGAGGCACTCAACCGCACACAACGCCAGCATTGTGCTGCACGCTGCAGCATACAGCATGTAGCGTGCTGCTTGTAACATGCAGCATGTAGCATACTTCTGCAGCATGTAGCGTGCAGCGTGCAGCACAATGCTGCACGCTGCAGCATACATCTGCAGCATGTAGCAAACATCTGCAGCTTGTAGCGTGTAGCATGCAGCATTGTGCTGCACGCTGCAGCATACATCTGCCGCTTGTAGCATGCAGCGTGCAGCATGTAGCATATACATTTGCAGCGTGCACACAGCGTGTAGCGCGGTATTGTAGGCGCATTATAGTCGAATTATTGGTGGATTATAGGTGCATTATTAGTGGATTATTGGCGTGTGATCGACGTATTATAAGCGTATTATGGGCGGATTATCGTAGGTCATTTCGCGGGTCTATCTGGTCTGGAAGATGGGTGGGGTGTGGGGTATGGGGTGACATTTGGTAGGGATAAGGGGGGTAGGTCATACCGTCGACATTTGGTAGAGATAAGGGGTAGGTCATACTAAACAAAGTGTGTCAACCTGACCCACTTGTGCCCCCCAGACTCGACCGACATCGTAGACTGTAAGCTGAAGCTGATCCTGGGTCTGATCTGGACGCTGATCTTGCACTATAGCATCAGCCTCCCCGTGTGGGAGGGCGAGGCTGACCCACCTTCTGACAAGCAGCACACCCCCAAGCAAAGGTGGGTCACTACAGCATAAGCCTCCCCGTGTGGGAGGGCGAGGCTGACCCACCTTCTGACAAGCAGCACACCCCCAAGCAAAGGTGGGTCACTGCAGCATCAGCCTCCCCGTGTGGGAGGGCGAGGCTGACCCACCTTCTGACAAGCAAAGGTGGGTCACACCACCCACTCAGGTAATTAAGTGGGTAACATACCCGACCGTTAGTCCAGAAGATAATATTTGGTCCAGCCTGACCCACTTTTATACCACGACACACTTTTATAACATGATCCACTTTTATACCGTGACCCACTTTTATACCATGACACACTTTTATGCCATGACCCACTTTTATACCATGACACACTTTTATACCATGACCCACTTTTATACCATGACCCACTTTTATGCCATGACCCACTTTTATACCATGACCCACTTTTATACCATGAC